TCTCTCTCTCTCTCTCTCTCTCTCTCTCTCTCTCTCTCTCTCTCTCTCTCTCTCTCTCTCTCTCTCTCGCTCTCGCTTGTCGCTCTCGCTCTCTCTTGCATTTACACAAACTCATAGAGATATCACACCTTCCCTAACTTGCTTTTTTGTATGTTTGTATTACTTGTAGGAGGTTCTTCTGCTCTTCCTTCTCTCTCTCTCTCACTCTCTCTCACTCTCTCTCACTCTCTCTCACTCTCTCTTTTTTTTTTGTTGCTCTCTCTCCACCTCTCGCGCTGTTGCACAAACGCATAGAGATATCACACCTTCCTTAACTTTCTTTCTCTTTATTACTTTTGTTTGTATGTTTGTATTACTTGTAGGAGATTCTTCTGCTCTTCTCGCTAGAAGTTGAGATGCATGGTTCTCCTTTGTGCTCTTTTTTTTTGTTGTTTTGTTTAATCCTCACTTTTTCCGATTTTGCGCTCTTTTGTCCTTGTTGTGCTTTTGTACTAAATTTTGTCGATTGATCAAATTGTTATGATCCTGGCCAAATTTCGAAGTATGCATTCATCAGAAAGTACAATGGCGTCCAATTGCAAATAGAAATGAATGAACTTGAGAGGAGAGAGAGGGAAAGAAGAAGAAGAAGAAGAAGTAAGAAAGAAGAAGGATGATGTACTCCAGCATAGACCAAAGATAATGCTCTTCTTCTTCGCCAACCAATCTCCTCCTCCTTATCTCCTCCCCTCTTATTCAAACAAGAAATAACAATAATAATGTTCAATGGATGAATCAGAATCAATGTCTGAATCCCTCTTCTACTGCAGGCACAACATGAGGTCCACCATAGCCATGGCCAACCTTCCTCGTCCTCTTCATGTAGGCTGAGTCTATGGTGGAGTACTGAGGGCTCTACCCGCCTGTCCAAAGGACAACCCAAAGCAGCTATGTCGCTGCCCTCCTGTCCCAAGGTTAACATCAGGCAGCTATGCCTCTGCCCAGTCAACCGCCATGCCTGACTCTGTCCCGAGCTTCCTTGATGCAGCACTACCCCAACTGGGGCCTTCCAGATGCAGTGCCTAACAAGGTGATGAAGATGGTGTCCACCGTAGCCAGGTACGTACCTCGCCACTCTCCTCCTTGTCTCCTCCCCTCTCCTCCTACCTGTAGAGTTCCACCATAGCCAAGGTGGAAGCTCCTGGCTTCTTCTTCCCAGCAGCGCTGTAGTAGCCAGCGCTCCTCCTCCAGCCAGCGCTCCAGCAGCGTGTCGCCAAACTTGCACACTGAAGAATGAGGCTGGGCTCTTCCCTCGGCCTCTTTATAGCAGCCTACTTGCCTCCTGGGCGGTGACTTCCAGGCCGCGCGGCCTCCAAGCAACCGGTACCTCCTCCCTTTCGGAGGGAAACATCATTGCAGACTCTGATATTGCCCGTACAGGCTCTGGACTCAGACTGGATGGACTGGTACCCGCCTAGACCTAGCCTACCGCTACTGGGCCTCTAAAAATGCCAACTTTGTCTTCTTCTGCTCAGCCTCGAGTACCAGGCACATCTACTGCTACTGGGTGCGGTACCGGCCTACCTGCTACTTGAGTGTTTTTCCGCCGCTCTAAGTGCCGCAGGCCTCTGGCTCCGCTACTTGAGTGTTGGCCACAGGTAAGTACCGACCCTACGGGCCTGCCAAACAAGCAAGTACCCTTGCGGGTCACACACACACTCATGCCGACAAGCACTCAGACAGGCACGCAGGTCAACAAGCACGCACACATACAGACTTAGAAAACTCAGCAGAATGCGGGAATCTCAGCAAGGCATCCATTCCATCGGCAGAACTTCAGAAATCAGCAGTGTTCTGAGTCTGTTTTATGGCGGGTCATTACAAAATTAATAAAATTATATGATGCTCTGTTTGTTCCATTCTTGGTTAACTCAAAAGTTCTTCAGGTACAAGACCCATTTTCTTCAGTTGCAGTGAAGCCGCAGGGCTCAAACTCTTGACTTGTTAATTATTATATCTGCCGTGTGACGAATTCAGCTACCGATGAGATTCAAGAAGACTTTTGGAAAGAAACAAAGATAAATGTGTTTATAGCCTGAAGGTGCATCCCTTGTAGTCACTTAGAAAAGAAAGCCGTAACATTGCTACGATTCTTCCGAGAAAATGTTTCTCTCTCTCTCTCTCTCTCTCTCTCTCTCTCTCTCTCTGTCTCTGTCTCTCTCTCTCTCTCCCTCTCTTACCTCCCTTTGTTTGGTTAAATTTTCCCCATGGCACGTGAATGTGTACAATCATAAGACACAAAGGCCAGTGTTTTTTTTTTTTTTTTTTTTTTTTTTTTTTTTTTTTTAAATGCAGTTTCTGAAGAATGGTAAACAATTGAAAGCATGTTAGAGATGTCAAAAATCACAACAAAACATGCGTCAATGTCCGCACACTTTTTTTTTTTGTGGAAACAAAACTGGAGGTTTTGTTTGAAATGTGAAGCCTCGAAACGGAATACAGGCGAAAGACACAATTTTTTTTATTTAAAAAAAAAAGAAAATGAGTTTCTGCTCTATGTTATGTTGTTGGCTGAGCAGGTGCCATTTGAAGACAAGGCACGACAGTACTTCGAATTCCAACGAAGAACTGGTGCTCTGCCTGTTCAGAAGGAGGTGAGCGCTTTTTATAGGTGATGAATTCTTACTACATGTAATGAGTACTGTCAAGTGCTGGGCCTTTCTCCACTTCTCAGCATTCGATACGTATCTGGACTGTTTTATGGTCCATGTGCATGTGGATTATTCGGGCATTTTGAATGTGTTAGGTAGTGGTTACGAGTACTCATTACATGTATCTATAATAAAGTACTGGGCATCACTCCACTTCTCAACATTGGATATGTATCTGGACTGTTTTATGGACCATGTGCATTTGGACTTCTCAAAACGTTTTGAATGTATTCGGACAACAGCCAGCTCCAGATGCGTTTAGAATGTGGTGCAGTGGAGCGACACCCACTATCAAACCTTTTTCATGATTCTATGGGTGGATCTTACATGGATGGCTATCCTCAGTCCCATCATCATCATCATCATCATCATCATCATCATCATCATCATCATTTGTGTTTGTGGCCAGTTGGGACTTGCTCCACTTCTCAACGTTCGACATGTATGTGGACTGTTTTATGCTCGATGTGCATTTGGACTGTTTGAACATTTTGAATGTATCAGGACCATTGTTAGCTGAACTTAGATCCAGATGCATTTGGGTTTGTGGCCAGGTGGACGTTTCGTCCGTTCATTTGTTTTGTTCTTTTGTTTTGTTCATTCATTTTGTTTGTCAGCTCATTTGTTTGCTAGTTCCTGTAGTCATTTGTCCATTATTATTATTATTATATTATTATTATTTTATTATTATTTTATTATTATTATTTTATTATTATAATATTATTATTATAATATTATTATTATAATATTATTATTATTATTTTATTTTTTATTTTATTTTTATAAATAAAAACAGAACCTTATGGTTCTGGCTCCTTTTCCATTCTTGGGGAGCATCAGTCCAGTTCCTATTCCACCGGCAAGTCAGAAAAGATTGCGATAGTTACTCACACACGCTCCTCCACGCTCCTCCACCTTATGGTGTGAAAGCCCAAAGGACGGCATTGATTGCTTCCCAAAGGGCGAGAAGGTTAACGGAGACCCTAATTTTCAGACCACTTGCCATGATGCCATTTATAAGAAAACCAAAGGGTCATTTTAATCAAACTTGCCACCAATTCATAGAGTGCAGACCATACTAACTAACTGCAAAAAAAAATCCAATAAAAAAACATAAAATTTGACCCCGAAACCCTAATTTCAGTTTTGGACTCGTTACGCAGGGCCTGAAACTGGGGGTTCCCTTTAACCGTTTGTGTTCATTTGTCGACTTGTTTGTTTGTCAGTTCATTTGTTCGCCCACCCACCTCCTCCATGTTCCCGTTGCCTTCCGTCCATCCATTCTTGTCTATCTGTGTGCAGTTAGTCAGTAGGTCAATCAATCAATCAATCAATCAATCAATCAATCAATCAATCATTGAGGCAAAAAAATGGCATGCCGTCGTATGTCGTAGCCTTATAGGTAATCGGTACATCCGTCACCATCCGTGAGGTTTTCTTATGGTATTCTGCTTAGGTGATTCCAGGTGTGAAAATAATCAAAATATGCATAATTAAAAAAAAAAAGGATTCGTATGCATAATGATTACCTGTAGACGACAGCAAATAATTCATGTTGTTCGGGTCTGTGCATGTTTTCATTTGTTTTTTTTTGCGCTTTTGTTTGGGTTTTCGTCTTCCCCCCAAGCTCCACTTTCTCCTCACTCACTATTTACAAGAGCCTTTTGGGCTGAGGTTTTGAACTTAGCCTATTCGACACCAAAAAATGGTATGATGACTGAGTACGTTGAATGTGACGTACCCACCTGAAATTATGTCTACCTTCAAGGAATGTGCCAGCAGCTTACAACTTGGAAGACGGAAAAGATAACCCAAAATGTTGGATTTAGTACTGTTTAGTGCTTATTATTTGTTAGGACCATCCTTGCAAGCAGACGGACCGGACGAGCGTCCGGTCCGGTCTCCCCCCAGACCAGACGGACCCGGACAGGACCGGACAGGGCCAACTTTTTTTTTTTTGGGGGGGGGTGGGGCGTAACTGGTCGTCGGGCGGACATTCGTGCGCCGCGCGGGTCCGGTCCGGCGGTCTGCCGCACATGCAGAACTGCCCGGACGGCGTCCGCTTGCAAGTATGGTTAGGACTATTTACTATTTGTGACCTATATAGTATATATACTATTTCAGTCTATTTGTGAGGACTATTACTATTTGTTAGGACTATTTACTACTATACTATTTTATTGTTTAACATGCATTAGGATTATTAGTAATTTATTACGGAATTCTACAGAGCTTTAGAAGGTGGCAGCGAGTTGGGGACAAATTATCCATTTGTGAACGGATCTGGCCGCAATCGAAGTCAAGTGCAGCGGTTTTGGGCCTCCGCAGATAGTCGAGGCAACTTGTAGAAGAATGCGAACGAGTCAAAGGACTCGAAAGAAGGCTGCAGATGAATGTGGTGCCCTTTGACATACACTCGCACTTGTCCTTTCCTAAATGTATCTGGCTCAGATCAAAGCCAGATTGAGTCGAGAAAGGCTTTTTTTTAGGACACTACTATGCTCATAGTAGCTTAGCTATATTAATCCTTCCCTTCCAAGTTTTTCTCTCCCTTCAACGCTCCAGAAGAAAGAACCACAACCAGAAACATGGCACACACACACACACACACACACAGAGAGAGAGAGAGAGAGAGAGAGTTCAGATCCTTATGGACATGATCATCTCATAAGGGGTGAACTCCCTTTCCAATACAAAAAAAAAAAGAAGGAAAAAACAGAACCAGAAACATGGCACAATTGTCCTTCAGGACATCCGTTAAATTTGGAACGATAGAAAGAAGGGTAATTATCAAATGGCCCCTGCGCAAGGATGACACTCATGAATCGAGAAATGGTCCAAAATTTTCAACCCAGAAAAAAAAAGAAAAAAAAAAGAAAGAAACATGGCACAATTGAAGTTATATTTCTTCTCCTCAAAGTTTTTCTCTCTGTTCATCCGGCTAAACTTCTTTATGAATTTCAAATTGCAATTGCATGTTATATACGTGTGTGTGTGTGTGTAGAGTGACCAAATCGACTTCAGGGGTGTTCTGCACAGAGATGGATCAGTTTTGATGTCAGTCAAACTGGAGCAGCTGAAGGTGTGTGAACCTTTGCTTCAACACGAAACCTTGGAAGTTTTTTTTTCCTTCTTTCTTTTCCGCAATTCTGACCTCGGCATTTTTTTCCTAACCTTTTATTCTTTTAACTTTTAAGATTTATCCTTGCAAATTTTGTCTCCTCCCTTCTCTCTTCCCCTCACATATGACACGTGGTAGCCTGGTCTGTATCGTTGCAGTTCGATTCTGATGGATGTCTTCCGGACGTCTCTTTTTGTTTCTCTCTCTCTCTCTCTCTCTCTCTCTCTCTCTCTCTCTCTCTCTCTCTCTCTCTCTCTCTCTCTCTCTCTCT